GGTGACATGCGGTGATGTGATTGTGTGAGGCACCTTTCGATAGGCCCATGGCACTGACTGACTGATGCTGGATCCTGCCTTGTAGAAAGTTCTAGCTGCTGTCTATCTTTTACACTCATGGCAGAAAGGCAACTATAGTCTGCCTAGCAACCGTTACATAACTTTGTATAACTTTTCTGATTGGCGAACATGGCCACTTAACAAACATAATGATCACAACACACTCATCTGGGCATGGTCCATGAATATTTCATCCTACTACTGTTCTTATCTCGTGCTCTTTTACTCATTTCCTTCTCTAAACCCACTTTTTCAAACAAACACTTAATCAGTAATCCCCGCACAAGACTTATCAAACCATTATTCAGTTACAGGGATCATGTTTTTAATTATTTTGTTCTGTTTGGAAAATTATATGTAAACTGGTGCAAGATATAATTTTTCATAACTTTGACTTTTTATGTTTTCTGAAATTTACACCACTTTTGAATTTCTCTGTTATACATTCAGCAGTTCCTGTGGAGAGAATTAATGCAGTAAGTCACAGACTTTATTTTTTCTACCCCTAGCAGAAAAGCATGCTACCAAATGTCAGTGAATATAATATCGTTTCCTGCTTAAGTACTGGCTGTGTTGCATGCAATATTCAGGCTAACCCAGTCCAAATATTAAAATGTGATTGTGCTAATATACTTGTGTTTTTGCAAGAAGCTGTTCTTATTTTTAGTTTTTCCTTCATGCCCAGTAGCAACACAGAATATTTTTCTAATTTATCATAAATATTAGGAAATATAGCTCTAATGGCAGACATCACTTTTGTAACTATGTTATGACAATGTGTAAAATGAACTGTTAACAGTATGTGCAAGGTGTTACCTAAGTGCTCTGGGTCAAGATTCAGGGGGGGCAGGGGGAGAGGGATTTGACGGCGGGGGTCTACTACAGACCCCCCCAACCAAGAGGAGGAGCTGGACAGGGAATTTTCAGGCCAGCTTGCAGAGGCACTAAAATCAAGGGATGTAGTGGTCATGGGCGATTTTAATTACCCAGACATCTGCTGGGAGGAGCAGTCAGCCGGGACGGACCGCTCCAGGAGGTTTCTGGCTGAGATGCAGGACCTCCA